AGCTAGAAATAGACATAAGTTCTGCCATGTCCTTGTCTACATGAAATCCGATGCTCCAATCGAAAGGGTAGTGCAAACCGAAGAGACGTCAAGCTCATTGCCGCGCGCGATGAAGCGGCAATTCACGATTGTCTTGCCCGTCTCCCATATTGTCTAGCGCTCTGCACTCCATTCGCAATCGTGAATATAGCGTTAGACGTTAATGAGCAATAATCTCGGTTGTGAGCAGTAATCTGAGCAAAACAAAATCTCAAAACTGTAGTTCACCAGCGTCCGCCATCGCGTTCACTTCATTTTCTTATCTCTTATCACCTGTTTTTGAGGTATCAGCCTTTGTGTCAAATGGATCAAGCCTCGATTCTGGGTGGACCCTCACAAAAGGGACCCTAGAATTACTCGCCGAGATTCACGTCATGTTGGTGAAAAATCTCCAGGTAATATTTTCGTGATGGATGTTTCTCAATAGCATCAGTGATAAATTAGTAACGCTACGTATCAAAGGATTTGGCCAAGGAAGTTGCCAAGTACAAAGAGGATCTCGTAAAAGCTAGAAAAGAAGCAAAGCAGCAGGACATTCTGGACGCTGTCAATCTTATGCAGACTACAACTACTTGCCTACAGAAGGTTTTTATTTTGACACTTCTTACAATAGTGCCAGTCTCAGTCATGAGCATTTCCATAGACTTTCTATTCGTAGAAAATGTTCATTTTAACCTCGTTTGCAGTCCAAAGAAACTTATTATGCCCGATGTGCCGAACTGGAGAAGCTGAAGAAGGAAGCGAACGTCCCCCCGAAGGAGATTACAAAGGTTGTTAAAGTTGTCGCATGTTTTTTTATCCGAAGTAGTGGTCCCACATTCGCTGCAGCTATATATGGGTACGCGACAGATACTATGGAGGAACCCTATAAGCCTGCATTTATTGTCATATTGCCCGGCCAGTCTAAGGGAGTTTTGGAAGCTGGAATTTAAGGTCCCATTACCAACTAACAGTTAGGAAATTTTACTGCTCTCAAGCTAGCACGTTTCGAAACGCAAGAGCTCAGCACATTCCTGTGGTAAGTAAATGACCGGTAGCCAGCACATATTGGCGTTAATGTTCGTTTTACTGATTGTCACATTAATATGCGCAAGGATTGTATGCGGTGGGGTACAGCATGATAACCACTACAGAAGTTTAATGAAGTTCAGCTGTGCGTGTGTGCGAACTGGCCTAAAAGAACGCGGTTGGAATAAGAGATGACTGTGGCTTTCGCACTGGCGTACAGCTTGCATATGGCGCGAACGACGGCAGGTCTTCGAACAAGGTAGGTTCCCAGACGAGGTGCGTTATTTAAGTCGTCGGAGGAAGGAGCGTATTACCCTGGTAAGACTCTGTAAGACTCTGTTGATCTCTCCCGTTTCACGGCGCTATCCATATCTTTGGTAAACTCCCACTAAGGGGCGAGGTCCTAGTCCCTCGTTATCTTGAGAGGAGGGCCGTAAAATAGCACGGGTACAGATCCGAATTGGTTCCTAGCAGTATTCAAAGGCATATATAGTAAATTCTGAAGCAGCCAATGTGCATGTTATACCGTATAACACTCAAAACACACTTGAAAAACACACGATGTGGGAATGTCCGCAGTTCGAAGAACGTGCGATTCGGTAGTCTGTGGAGTCAAAACTCAACTAGTCCACTGGCGTGCATTCTCCCCAGTTAACGGCTCGCCAGACCAGCGCGCATTGTCAAAATTTCTTCCCAATCACAAATCCTTCACGTTTGCGAAATATGAATGCTGCGATCGTGTTCTTCTTTGCAGCCAAACCTTATACCGTCCGATGTACCCCGAAAAGGTAGAAGGTTCCGTCGTTTGGAGAATAAATATGTGCAAGGGGTGAACAGGATGGCCTTTACGTGTCTTCGCCTTGATCACTGACCCCCTCGAGCGGGCTCCAGTAACGGCTTTATACGTCCTTTCCGATTCAGAGTAGTCCATTAAATTTTCTTAACTCGGAGAACACGAAGCCGTTCGTTGCAGAGCTCTCGTAATAACCTGAGAAAGCCGCTCGTGCCCTCTTCTGTCGACTGCTATTTGGGAGGGGGGGGGGTGGAGAGAAGTGCGACTTTTTTTAGAATCTCTCGGGGAAAAGTGTTTACCGTACCGTATCGTACCGACACGCCATATCACAGTTCACGATGCTGTATCTTGTCTGAGGCTCAGTAAGTAAACGCCT